TAGACTTGAAACATTTCCATTATACGCTATCTATACAGTTTGATGTTTTATGTTTCATCCGTAAAGCGCTGCCAGTCGGTACTCCTCTCTCTCATGCAGCATGCAGTCTTACAAGCAGTCGAAAAACGGACCCTTTTGCTTGAATTTAAGAAAAAAAGAAAAGACAAAAACAAAAATTACATTTAGTGAGCTGTGAATAACTTATAGTAATGATTTTTTTCCCTTAAACAGAAATCAAAGTTCTTGTTTAATGTTTTTTTTCAGATCTCATTACATTAAAAAGCCAGACTGTTGGTCAGTAAGTCCAATGATGATTTGTTGGCTGAAATGCATTATGGCAATATTCCACTTCAGTTCATCTGTGTGGAATAATACATTTAAAACTATCCCGTTATCTTTAGGGGAAGCAGTTAAAAGAAGACACAATAGGCACTATTCTTAATACATCTGCCATGCTGTTTGCAATGTTAGTGCAAAAGCCCAAGAGGCACCAATCAAACACTGGCAGTAAGGCAGAAGCACAAACTGCTGCTTTCTCCTACTGCTGCACTTCAAATGGGCATCACATTAATCATTCCAGACTTCAAATATTGTTTAATAACAGAAACTGGGAAAAGCAACAGTAACTTTAATGTGATTTGAGCTGCATTGAACTTCCCTGTGTGGGAACAGAGTGAATAGACAAGAAGCAAACAGATGTCAAAAACCGACACTGGCTGACAGCAAGGAGTAAGTTGGTGAATGTAACTTAAAAGATAGATTTTTTGGCCCACATGTGGAGCTATCAATGATTGGATACAGGTGATTCAGATGAATCGGACAGCTCTTAAGCTCTTTAAGCTCTGCAGAAGGCTGCTTCAGACCCCTTCATTTGATCAGGTAAACTGGAACAGGAAAACCTGAGAACCAGGGTTGAGAAACAGTTGTGCAGTCAACCAATGAATATAAAAACTCATACCTGTAGGCAATTAAGAATAACATAATACCAATAACACAATAACATATTTACCAGACATGCATAGTTTCCGATTGTAGGAGGAAACAGAGATGTGATCTCTACTGAGAAAAACCCGGGTGTAACATTCAAAAGCTAAAGACGCCTGCTGGCATTCAAAGCATGCGACGTGAGGTGACTGCTCACACTGCAAAGCTCGCTTATCCCACGTGTTACAAAATGGTTCAATTAGCACTGAATGTATAAGTAGGTGTTTAGCATGTATAAAAAATGTGTACATTATACTTTACTGAAATGCAGACAGTGGCCAGTCTTAAACAATGGAATTAAACTTATTTTTAAACCTGTTGAAGTTTGGGCATATAAACACATAATTACTGAAATAAATCTGATAAAAGGTACATTTTTAAGCCTGACAGTTTAAAGTTATAGCCATACCCTCATAGTTTTCTAATTTATTCTGCCCTAACTGTATTTACTTACTCATCATAACACTCAGCATCCCTTACACCACCATAAACCATGTAAACCTCCCAGTCGATGTGCCGTACCCCTTTTAGAGCAGTCATTGTGATCACTTCTCACAGCCATTTTCTCTAAATCTTAAGCTTTGTCACAGTCCCAGGCTTCCTTTGAGGTTTTAGTTTCAAAAAGCCAGTCCATTCTTATCCATTCTCTGCGGCATGCAGTGCTGTATTATGTTGGATGGTTTGACTTTTTTAATTCAAAAGCTGTGTAACTGCCTCGACTTCCCCATCCTGC